CAGCCAACTCATAGTTACAGCCACAGCGGTAGCCGGTGCGGCCGACCCGAAGGTAGCTTCAAGGTAGCCGTCCTCCGGTAGTCTGCCGGTAGATCCCCCGTAAGTTCCATCCGGAGTTCCTGCCGGTAGATCCCCCGGTAGTTCCTCCGTAGATTGCCGAGCAGCCGGGAAGAAAGGGCTGGGTGACTGAACGGAGGAAGCATAAAATCCGAGCCGCCTACAGTTACCCACAAACCACGTTCACAGTTCATATTATTATAGTTTTGGTCATTAGCAGCTCACCTGGCTGAAATATGCAGTTTATGGTTGTGAGATTTATCGGTTACCTTTACATTGTGCACCATGATTTTGTATTTCCATAACAGCTTACACCAAATTGGCTATGCACAGTAATCATATACATACCTACCTACCTATGACTATACGTAAGAAACGGTAAACTGTATGTTTTATGCCCAGTTAGCATATCGGGTACATCTAGCTAAAACTAATGTCTTTTCCTAGCATCACCGCATGGCAAACTTAATACTTTTAGGCAAGACGGCACAGCAAAATATTCACAGTCATTCAGAGAAATCTAAACTGTGAGGCTGCACTCACAGAGCCGCCTCTCTTTCCTGCACCTGGATGCTAATGAGTTAATCTGAAAATCCGTCTTCATTGCTGTATTTAGATTTGCAGTGTTTTTCCCTGAAAACAGCCAAGTGGTGTTAATTAGTGAGAAAAGTTGCCCTGAGGTTTCGGCTGCAGGAAGAGTGTTTTGATGTTGACATTCCTATTGATGTGGGTGATGATAGTTCCTACAGCAGAGGCTCTGAAGTCTGCTGGGAGAGACTGGCTGTCACTTCCTCATGCATACAAATATACAAAAATACACACACACAGACATATACAGGAAGAATATACTCATTATACAGTTGAGGCTGCATATGGAAGCAAGCAGTAGGAAGTCTGTATACCTTATTATAAAGGATGGAATCTCTGTCAGTCTGTATGTATGGATTCATGTATGTATGTACTGGATGTATATCCTTTGATTTTCTCGACAGCTGTTTGTTGATCATCCCATCAATTTCACACTTGGCAGGTCTATTGTTATAGTGCTTGGTTGAATTTGTTGCAATTTTGCCAGATAGTGGCGCTGTAACAGCAAACTTTATGTTTTGGCCTTAAGAGACAGTAAGTCTTAAAATTAAACCAAAAGCAGGACAGTATCTTACTGTTTATAGAGGGTGTTAATAGACTCATAATGAGCTCACTCACTGACTACTAGACTCCTACTATGTGTGTGTGTGTGTGTGTGTGTGTTTTTTCCTTATTTAATCACTCTCTTCCCTCAGTCTTCTTTGTATTTTTCTCAATAGTCCAACCTTATGCTTTTTACCTTCTTTCTGATTTCTATCTTTCCTAAATCATCTTTTCTTACCTCCTGGTTCTCCATAACTTTCATATTCAAATGTCCTTCATTCCTGTTCATTCCATCTTTCCTTCCAACATGCTTAACATGTTCTGCCTTAATACAATCACACCATCCCTTTTCCCTTACATTATACCATTCTTGCCTCCTTTCATCCTGTTACCCCCCATGATTTAGCTCAATGAAAATGGCAGCACTGTTATTTTAATTAAATTAATCTTGTAGCACATGTTTCACTTGTCTCTCATCTTGAATACTCTCTAGTGAATCCCAGGAGAGACAAATGTCCTGAACGTCTCTCAAGTCATGTGCTTGTAGATTATTCTTGGTTATGTCTCTGCGTGATCTCACAAAATCTCACAAGCTGAGTCCCAAAAATAGGCTATCACTGTCTTAAAAAAAAAAACAAGTGTTGTATATGCCAAAAAAGAGACAGAAAATTGGCTGTGATGAGAACAGTGAAAAGTGATTTGATTTAATTTGAAGTAATTTTGTGTCAATACTAAGCCTGTTAAATTATATGACCGTTTAAGTGCGGTGCTGTCCTATATTGTCAAAAAAAATTACCTGGAAAAATATTTCTTAAAAAGAGTGGGAACCCTGTTTATCTGTGATGTTTACTGAATTATCTATATCAGGTATTCGATTGAAAGGGGAGATCTTCTTTCACGAAGCACATTACTCTGATAATAAAGGGTATAAATGAAACTAAACAAATATACAGATAAAAGTAAAACAACTTTGACAAAATACCCCAAAAATTAGTTCATCACAGTAAAGTTACATCCATCCCTGATGTTTAGTTACTCCTCTGCCTCCTTTAGTGATAATGGTACATGTATTAAGTGTAGTTTATTCACTGCGCTGGAGGCGAGGATTAGCAAGTTAGAGGCACGGCACCGCACCACCGAGATATCATCAGTTATCTTTCTGAACGCATGCCTAATATTGTATATAATAATAAAATAATTATAATTATTATATTTATAATATAATAATAATAGATAATAATAATTTATTATTATTATTATATTATTATTATTATTATTATTATTATTATTATTTTATTATTATTATTCATTTCAATATATTCAAGGTTCATTCAATATATTCAAGGTTCATTCCATATATTCAAAGATTCATTCAATATATTCAAGGTTCATTCAATATATTCAAGAATTCATTCAATATATTCAAGGTTCATTCAATATATTCAAGAATTCATTCAATATATTCAAGATTCATTCAATATATTCAAGGTTCATTCAATATATTCAAAGATTCATTTCCTAACGGCATGCAAATAAATATGTATATATATACATACATATATTTTCAGTGGATGTTCACTGGTGGCTTCAAGTTTCTAGATCCCATTATATAAGTTGCATACTAGAACAGGACCCTTTAAAATTTGATTTTCAATGAGCACAGAGAAACTTTCCACTTTCAGCAGATGAATGTGAAAATTGTGTTTTTCATGTTTCTTTTTATTTATTTGTGATTCTGCTTATGATTCTGCTTATGCTTTATTGTGCAAAAAAATATCAAATCAAACCAGAGCTGCTAGCATGCCAGTTATAAATTGTGAAAACTGTGTGTGATCATACTCATTACCCAGCCTTATCTAACACATGACCACGTTTTACCCTTTATTTACAGTTAAGTCAACACAGTTCCCTTTTTTGATGTCAGACTTCTCAAATACAGTTGATGTTAAAAAAGGAGGCCGCTATACACACAGTTAAGGTCTCATTTGTAGTAATAAGTTTTGGACCGGCAGAGGTATAAAAACAGTAAGTGAGATGCAGCACAAGTACACAATTAAGCAGTTATTTGTGACCTGCAAATTGATGCTTGCTTTACAAGTTAGTTTAGACACTAAAGAGAGATATATATCTCCTTTGTCCTTTGTACTATTTTTCTGGAAAAAAAACGGGTGTTTTAAAATATTTTCCCCAGCTCTGCCAGATGAGCGTCACTCAACACGCGTCATTTAACTGTGCTCGGCAGGTTTTGTGGATCTGCAGACTGAGAAAGCTGACCTGATGGAAAATGTTGGAGCGATTCCTTTCCTGGACTACAAGCACTTTGCCTCCAGAATCTTTTTTCCTGAGGTACAGTGGAGCTGAAAAGAAAGCAAATGTTCGTATCTGACAAAATGTTGCTATAAATTGTGAAATATCAAATATAACAAACCTTTTTGTTGTTGTTTTTCAGAGCGAATCTCTGATGACATCGTGTATCAAAGACATTGGTCAGGTAAGGTTTGAGGCCAGCTGCTGTTGATGTTGATTACACTTATCACTGTAACTCTGTCAGTCATGTGGTGTTGTATCTGACCTGAAATCAGGATGTGGTGAAGGTTCAACTTGACGAGTGTTGCCAGGGCTTGTCCAGGCTGATCCAGGACCAGGTCTTCCTCACATCTATGGTGCACGCTCTGGAGGAGCAGAAGAGCTTCACCATTAAAGACAAGTCAGTTTGTAGTGTTTTACTGTGTGACTGTCTCTGATATACAGTATGATACAACAGATATCTGAAGTGTGGTAAATTGCAGTTATGAGTCTATTCTGTTCACTAGTGTCTCTTACTGGCTTTCTGTTCATTACATTTTTTCGGATCTCTATTCTTATGTGGTTGACTTGTGTCTGCTCTTTTCTTATCTATCATCTTTCAGTTTCAGTTCTCTATTCGGCTTTTCTATTAATGTTCCATTCTTGCCTATCATGGTCTCTTCTGGTATGTCATATTTTCTTCACATTCACATTCATCCTTGAAAAGCAACCACTATTTAAAATAGTGTTTATCCATCAGTTACTCTATTGCACAGTATTCTTCTATTCTCTACTTCCTCTGCATTGTATTGTTTGAACTCACGTCCTGTATCCTGTTCTTGCCTACCTCTGTCTCCTCACCTTCATCTACTCCTTTCCAGGTGTGCATTGGCATCATTACTGACCGTAGCGCTCCACAACAACTTGTCGTACCTGACGGAGGTAATGGAGACTCTGCTGAGGGATTTGATGCAGCAGAACAGCAACGCTCAGCCCAAACTGTTACTACGACGCACTGAGTCCATCGTGGAGAAGCTGCTGACCAACTGGATGTCCATCTGCCTTTATGGCTTCCTCCGGGTCAGTTGCTCTCAATATTTCTTTTAGTTTTTGCTGTTCTATAATACTTAATAAGGAAAAGTTGTAGAGTATGTAGAGCCACCATCAGGTCAACATTTTTATTTCTCCACAATTTAGGTTCATGACCAAATACCTGCAAAACTAATGACATCAGCCTCTGTGGTACTTTGTGTTTAGTGCTAATTAACAAATGTTAGCATTCTAACTTGCTAATCTTTGATGGTGAACATCATGCCTGCTAAACATCACCATGTTAACAACGTAATTGTGAGCACGTTAGCATGCTGATGTCAGCACTGAACTCAAAGCGCCACTGTGTCTGATTACAACCTCACAGAGAATGCAGACTTTTGTCTTTCCCTTTGACTCACCTTTTTGTTAGTTAAAATACTGAACACTGTGTGTTGACATAACAGTGTGTGAAATAAACAGGACCTTATGCTAAAAAAAGATCATCAAATTACACCATACAGATCATGCACCAGAATCAGATCAATCAATTCGTACAACACACAAATATTTGATGAAAGTTCTCACTCAGTCTTTCCCAATTTGCATGATAAATAACTGTGGTGCAAGAGAACTGTGTCTGGATAAACCTTTGATGCTGAGGAAATACAAGGAAATTACTTGAATTTTGATGATTCGGATCTTGTTGGGGTATTTTTCAGTAAATAGCTGGTAACTGCTCTGTTGGGACCTGACAGTCACCCTTGAAACTAGAGGGGTAACCCAGCCATATGACAAACCACATCCAACCTCTAAACATCCTCTGCCTGCACAGCTAATAACAGCCTAATCTAAAGGAAA